ATTTAAGGGCACCCAGGGGGAAAATCTGAATTGGGGGGGTGTTGAATATGTGTGGTGTTGTGTTGTGGGTGGGGGTTTTTTGGGTGTGTGTGTGTGGTGTGCATGCTACAGCTATTCAAGTGCCAAACCCGGGGTTCCCGGTTCTCCCAAGTGTGTGTGCAAAAGTTTATTAAACAGTCCTTTTTTTTCCCCACTAACTCTTGTATTTTTAGTACCGAATTTTGGGTTCCCCGTATGCTTATGGTTTAAAATTACATTAAAAAATAATACATGCTTGCCTATATCCCGCTACCTCTAAATTCTATTAAATCCAGAAAAATGCGCTTATTCAATTCAATAGCTCAAGGAGAGTGACCCCAATTCCCAGCTAGAGCAGGTACTATTCACCCCATAAAACTAAAAAACAGGTAAATATTACTTGCGGCTGCATGGAAAAACTTTGGGGGTCTGTCCTGTCCCAGAATTTGAGATTTTTGATGCTTCTCTAATTTTTCCACTAACTTCCGTATGACTATATCCACTCTTCTAATTTTTTCACTCACTCACTAAATTTTCTGACACATCTATACAAATTTTTAAATTTCCCCCGGGTTTGATCGCACTTTTTTTTAAATACCCACTGCGTATTATGGCAACAATATTTAGGGGCCCGACACAACCGTTTACCCTTCCCCGCCCCCCAAAAAACACTCATCCACATTTCCTTTTTTTTCTTTTCTGTGATCATAAAACCCGGGCTAAGTGATTAATGCACCTTTGCGTGCACACACCCATATCCCACACCTATTTCCTTTTGGCCAGTCAGAAATTACCACCAAAACACAGCTCAAACGCGTGATCCTCCCCGGGTGGGTGTGGGTGTTTTTGTGTTTTGTGGTTTTTTGTTTTGTGTGTTTGTTTTGTTTGTTGTGTTTTTTTGTTTTTGTGGTTTGTGTGTGTTTTTGTGTGTGTTTTGTTGTGTGTTTGTGTGTTTTTGTTTGTTTGTGTGTGGTTTGTGTGTGTTTGTGTGTGTTTGTGTGGTGTTTTGGTGTGTTTTTTTTGTGTTTTTTGTGTGTGTGTTTTGTGTGGTTTTTGTTTTGTGTTTTGTGTGTGTTTGTTGGGGTTGGTTTTTGTTTGGGTTTGTGTGTGTTTGTGTGGTGTTTTGGTGTGTGTGTGTGGTGTTTGGGGGTGTGTGTTTGTGTGTGTTTGTGTGTGTGGTGGGTGTGTGTGTGTGTGTGTGTGTGTTTTGTGTGTTTGTGTGGTGTGTGTGTGGTGTGTGTGTGTTGTGTGTGTGTGTTTTGGGTTTGTGTGTGTTTGTTTGTTGTGTGTGTGTTTGTGTGTTGGTTTGTGTTGTGTGTGTTTGTGTGTGTGTTTGTGTGTGTCTGTACTCACCTATTGTACTCACCTATTTGTGGTTGCAGGGGTCGAGTCACAGCTCCTGGCCCCGCCTCTTCGCTGATTGCTACTAGGTCCTCTTCCCCTGCCCCATAGCTCTATCATACCTCGCCTTAAAACTATGTATGGTCCTGCCTCCACCACATCACTTTCTAGGCTATTCCATGGCCTGATACTCTGTGACTGAAGAAATACTTCCTAACATCCCTTTGATTCATCTGAGTCTTCAACTTCCAATTGTGACCTCTTGTGCCCTGTGTCCCATCTCTGGAACATCCCTCTTTGTCCACCTCGTCTATTCCGCGCAGTATTTTATATGTCGTTTATCATGTCTCCCCTGACCCTCCTGGCCTCCAGTGTCGTCAGGCCGATTTCCCTAAAACCTTTCTTCATAGGACAAAACCGTGTGTGTGTGTTTGTGTGTGTGTGTTTGTGTTGTGTGTGTGTGGTGGTGTGTGGTGTGTGGTGTGTGTGTGTGGAAGAGGGGAGAGAGTTCTCGTCAGAGCTGCCCCCTGGTGTTATCACTGCAACAACATTATTTGCTATATTCCTCCATTTTAGGTGCCTAAAGTTGAAATCCCCCAGGAGCAAGATTTTGGGGGGCGGCAGGAGCTGACAGATTTTTCCAGACAGTGGTCAGTTTTTGACGGGCGGGTTCCGGGAATTGCGGGGACATTGCATCCAGAGGCTTGTAGACTACCACAATGACTAGGTTTTGGTTCTCAATCTTTACTGCTAAAACTTCCACTACATCATTTGAGGCATTAAGCAGTTCTGTGCAAAAATGTGACTCTGCGATATACAGGCCAACCCCCATCTTTTGCCTGTTCACTCTGTCACGTCTGTATAGGTTGTAACCTGGGATCCATATTTCGTTGTCCAAGTGATCCTTTATGTGGGTCTCAGTGAAAGCCGCGAACGTTGCATTTGCCTCTGCAAGCAGTCCACGGATGAAAGGTATTTTGTTGTTCGTTGCTGGCTGTTGACCCTGTATACTTGAAAAGAATGTCATTGGACTGGTGGTATTGTTGGTACTGGGGGGGGAGGACTTTTTTTCTGGCACTAGTATCTGTATCTCTTGGTTTTAAGTGGAGGCCATGGACTGTGGTTCCACTCCAGAAATGACTGGATTTGGCAAACGATTACCGCCATTTCCTGCCAGTTTTTTTCCTTCCTGGCGCTAAAAAACCTCTCCCTCTTGAGTGGCTGTGGCTACCCAGGTTTTCCCATGGCCTGGATGTTTTGTATCTTTTTGTCCCATTTAGATGGTGTGCCTGGCAATTTAAGTTATAGCACAGTCTTTCCTGTACTGAAGAGGGACACATTTCAGGTGAAAAAGCTTACAGGAAGGGAGTTTGCATTTTCCTGTTGTCATATGGGCACAGCATTTTCTAGGGTGGTCATAGTTGCACGTCCCATCTGTTTTTCCAGATTTCCCATGCCTGCAGATACCAAGTGCATAGTTTGTGCACAGGCTTGGTTTCCGTTTGCCTTGGGTTTCTGTGACTGTATTCCCTGTTGGTGCATGTTTATCTGTCTCATTCCTATCCTCACTAGTACTAACAATGGAGCTCTCACCAATTGTTTCTGGTAATATATCCTCACTATTGCTAGTGGAGTCCCATTGTTTATCTCCTGTGGTATTACTAGTTTGTAATATTGGTTTTATCTTGTCCTTGACTACACTTCTTTCCACACTACAGCTCCTGTCTCTCTCGAGGTCATTTATATGCATTCCCTCATGCATACATTTACTGACTACCTGGACAGCACTTCCATCCTCACCATTACCGTCTCCCAAGACAGCACCTCCAGTTTCACCATTACTGTCACCCAGGACAGCACCTCCTGCCTTACAGTTTCTGACTACATGACCAGCATCAAGGGCAGTACCATCCAGCCCAGACTTTTTATTTTCCCATCTGTTATAGAATGCTATTAGGTTTTCTATGAAGGCTGCTTTGATGTTAGACTTTTAATACCAGTGTGATTTTAATCCACAGATTGATCTTATTTGGGCATACCCAAAAACACTTTCCTGATTTAATACTGCTTGTAGCTAGTTCTTGGATATCTGCACAAGGGGCGTGACACCAATTTTCACAAAAATGGCAAGTAATCCATGTGGAAGCTCGTTTGTTTGATTGACCGAATTCTTGAAAAAATCACCCCCTTTGCCTATTAAAAAATAATATAAAAAATGATTTAAAGTTGGGAAGTTGGGCCCTTTTTTTCCAACTTTTTTTAAAAAAAACCAAATTTTAAAAAAAGTGCAAAATAAAAAAATGTAAACATTCCTGGGACGGGAAAATTTTCTTTTCTTTATTTAAAAATGGGCCCCAGGCCTCTTTAAATTATTCTTGCTTCCATTTGAAATGTTTGCCCAAAAAATATAGATTTTCCCCCAATTTTTTGGATAAAAAAAAGAACCACGAAAGATTGGTCAAGGGTTTTTGGATCCCCATAAAATTTAAACAAACCTTAAAAACCCTTAAAACAACCAAGAGAACCTTTCCTGCTCTCAAAAAAAATCAAATAAATTTTTGCGGCTTTGAGCCCCCCCATTGCGGGCTTTTGTTTTTTTGAAACCCCTTTAAAATCCTCTCTTAAAATTTAGCGTAATTTTTCCATTCCCCTCAAATTTTATCAAAAAAACACAAATTTAAAACCCTAAAAAACATCCAATCAAAACCTCAATTGTTTTAAAAAAAACCAGTTGGGTTTAAATTTGCTTTTCCCCATCGTGCTCCCCTGTCTAACTAAAATTTTTCCCTCACACTTACTTTAGGAAGCCGGGCTCAAAAACCCTTTTAATTTACACAGGTGACTTTGATGCATTTACAATAGATCAAAAAAAAGACTGTGACAGGGAGAAACATTTAAAGTACAAATATGGTTAAAAGTTGGGGCGTCTTTCTTAAGGAAAAAAATTTTTTATTGATTTTAGCCTGTGTAAATTTTTTTTTTTTTTTAAATTTTAAAAATTTGGAAAAATTAAAAAGCTTTTTTCATTTGATAAGTTCATTTTTGTTTTCAAACATTTAGCTTCAAAACCCCTTTTCCCTATTTTATGCCAAAAATATTTGATTTGGGTTTTAAACTTTAAAGTTA